GTGGATTGCTAGGGTATGGCATAGCAATGAGCATACAAGGAACACTGACTTTGTTTTTACATCTCCTTGAGACTAGAAGGGTGCACGGGAGCTGCACTGGTCATGTCTTACACCTCTAAGTATTGAACATATACAGTAGTAGAAACTTTATTTCTCAATTTAATGGAGATAACATTTTAAAACTCGTCATCTCAGGAGCTGTTTGGTTTTAAGGCCCACCACTGGTTTTAAGAGTACTAAGGTGATTGGAGGCATAAACTAAGGCCATGAGAGAAAACCACAACTGGTTTTAAGAGTACTGAGGTGGTTGGATCCAGAAACTAAGGCCATGAGAGTGGAAGCTATAGGGTAGCAGTGTTTACTGATGAGGAAAGTGTTTCTAGATGTTGTCTCTCAAGTTGGATGTTGCTTAATGTTTCTGAATGAGACACTTACTAAGCCCAGGTGGAGACAGATCTGAGATAGAAGACAGAGCTTTATCTCACATGTTTCTTCTTGCTCAAGAATGGCATGTATAACATATTTATTGTTATAAATATATTGCAAATGGGAATTCACTTTTTGGATCTAGGTTTGCAGTTCTCTAAAAATTCAGTCTAATTCTGTCCTATTTTTGTTCGTTCTTTAAATGTTTGAACATGATAATTGTTTAGTTTTGCATAAATCAAGAAAATACAGATTTAAAACACAAGGGAAGAAAAGCAATGAAAGTCTTTTGTGTTTTAGGTGACCGGAATGAGAAGATGAAAAATCAAATTAAGCAGATGATGGATGTCTCTCGGGTATAATCCTTTTTTAGAGTCCCATAAGTGCCTGTGAATGCTTTCACTGTGTCTCCCTTATATGAATACTTCTCTCTTCTGTAATTTTTAGACACAGACTGCAATATCGGTAGCTGAAGAGGATCTAAAACGATTACAACTTAAGCTAAGAGCCTCCATGTCCACTAAATGTAACCTGGAAGGTAGGCTGCTTCTTGAGAAGAAATTGCTATGTATTGGAACGATGCAAAATTGCATTAGATAGATAAAGAGTGGTTTCCTGCTTTCATACTTCTCACTCCTCTCAACACCAAACCCCCAACCAAGTTCCCAAGTTCCTGTGCACACACATAGAGCTCAAATGTTTTACCCTTTACAGACCAGATAAAGAAATTGGAAGATGACCACAACTCACTGCTATCTGCCAAAGATGGACTGGAAGATGAGTTCAGAACCCTGAGGCAGAAAGGGGAGATTCTGAATGAACTATATCAACAGAAGGAGATGGCTTTGCAAAAGTAAGATTTTCATCATTTACTGTTCACTGTCATGTGTCTAAATAAAGGTGTACTAATATAGACAATGTTGTCTTTTTTAGGATTACTTATACTTTTTTCCATCTCTAATTAGTACAAATTTGTCTTTCTTCCTATCTGCTTTGTTTCTTATAACCTGCATTTTTCTTTCCTTTCTAACCAGTTGTCAGAAACTGTTGCCTGTAATTCATGTAAGGGGGAGCAGTTGACTGGTACTGGCAGTTACTGCTGTGGAAGTGCTTTTTTTTTGAAGATGTGTTCATGCCTTTTCTGTGGTTCCACCACTTATCTCACTTTCCTTTCTTTGTGGTCAATTATGTAATTTCCTTTAAAAAGTCTGAGTGATATGTATGACATGTGTTTTAGTAGAATAAAAACTTCAAAAAAGGAAATTTTACTTATTAAAGTACATTAAGTTTTGGACTTCACAGAGTCAAATATTCAGACTATATATAATTGTGGCAAAGATGAGGAGTTTTGAATTTAGAACTATTTGGTGTATGTATTTAGATACTAATCTTCTGAAATATGCATCTCAAATTTTGAGCTAGGTATCTTTTGAAAACCATATTTTTATAATTCATTTCAAGTTTTTTCTCCACAAAAACATCTGAATTCTCTAAAAATAGATTGTCTGTGGCAGTTACTATTTGTGTTTGCTCTTATATTTTACTCTATGGTGTATATGGCAGTGTGTGAGAAGACCTCGCTTGCTAAGCAAATTTAACCTTTTAAAATGCTTAGTCTGCTACTGCCATATGCCATTAAACATTAAAACTATACCATTAACTTTTTCTCTAATTCTTTGCTCACCCAGCCGCCGTTTAGATTTTCCAGATTTTGCTCAGGCCAACTCTAAATGCCTGTCCTGCTTCAGAGAGACATTCCTCATTTCATTACTTTTTAAAAAAAGAGCACGTCTCTGCCTCCAGTAGTAATGTGAATTACTTAAATGGCAACTGTTTTTCTTCATGATCCAGTTACCCCATTTATGTGCCACAACATTCATTCAGTCTCCATGTGTGTTTTGTACTCTGCTGTCCACCCCTAAAGTCACTGTGTGTGTTCAGGCTCTTGCCATCTTTTATGCCAGTCCCCTAGCTAATCACCTATCTTCAGTCTTTCTTATACATCTGCTTCCAAATTCTGATTGTCTCTCTAGCTGCTAGAGTGAACTTTCTAAAATACAAGTCTGTCCATGTCATTATGTGCTTGAAATCTATCAAGTATGCTCCATTCCCTTGAGGGTCAATTCCATACTCCTT